AGAAAAGATTTTGAAAAAGGTTTTCGGTTTTGAAAGTTTTCTATTTTGAAAAAGGTTTCCAAAAATAGCAAGTTTTCTATTTTGAAAAAAGTTTTTAAAATGGAAATTTTATGATTTTAGAAATCAGTTTTCTAATTTGGAGGTCGACTACAAATTTGAAATTCAGATCATTTAAAAAGAAAATGAGTTTCCTAATTTAGGTTTAAGGTTAATTTAGGAAATTGCTTCCTAATATGTGCTCTACTAACATACTTGACCTAAATTTATTTATATGGTCCAAATTAATTAATAATTAATTAGACCAAAAGAGTTTTGGTCGATATGCTTAATTTAAAAGCTTTTAAGATATTTTGGTAGGAGGATAAACTTGAGCCCTATTAGATAAGACTCGGGGTTTATAAGGATAAGATCAAACAAACGCACATATGTTTTAACTCTTTGTCCTTAGAGGACAAGGAAGCCACCCCTTTATTTAAATAAAGGGAAAGAGGTGGCAAGAATGAATTAGAAAAAAATAAAGACACGAAAAAAAGAAAAGAAAAAAAAACGTTTCTCCCCTCAAAAGCCCGAGTTGTTCTATCCGTCCTTAAAAGCTTGAGTTGCCGCAAAAACCTTAACTATTTTCTTTAAAAAGCAAATTAACTATACATAAGCATTAGAGTTAGCATTCTATAATTTTTATAGCTTTTTTATGGGTGTTTAAACTATATGGATTATCAAGAAAGGTCGGACACTTGGATGATTTCTTTTTTGCTTAATTAGTTTCTATGCTAACCATATTTATATTCATGCTAATATATGATTAGTTGATTCAACAACATGATCTTGGAAACCTTAGATGGAGAAAATTTGTTGTTTTATTACGCACCTTCATAGAATGTATAATCCTTCAACATCTTTGTCATGGGCTATAGTCATAAGAAACTAGCTATTTTCTTTTCAAAGGATTTCTTTTATGGGCTTCGATCACATGAGACTCACCATTTTTATTTTGATAGAACATTTCTCTCATGTGCTTGCAATCATAAAAAAACTCACCATTTTCTATCCAAATGATTTCTTTTATGGCTTTGAGTCACACAAGACTCGTCACTTTTATTCTAACGAACATCTTTGTTATGGGTTTAATTGCATAACGTAAGATTTGTTGTTTTTATTCTAACGAACATCTTTATCATAGGCTAAAGTCATAAGAGACTCATCATTTTCTTTCAATGATTTCTTTTATAAGGTGCGATCGCAAGGGACTCACCAGTTTTATTCATTCAAATGATTTTTTTTTTTTTTGTATTTTGTTGGCATCTCACTTATGTGAATGGAGTTGTCGATGACCCTTCCCATCTTTTTATTTGTTTGAATCAAAATTCTTGAGCGACTTCCTATCTATATTGATGAAGTTGCTGATAGTTTCTTAATTACATCAATATAGGTTTATAATCCTAAGAGACTCACCTTTTGCCAATATAAGTTTGCAATCACTAGGGTTTTAGCCAAAATTCTAATTCCTATCCATCTTTCTTCTCTTGATTATGGGTATTGGTTTTGGATCGGCTTGAATCCTAAAGTACTTTACTATTTCATCCCGATAAAATAACTCACTCAAATAAGTATAGAAACATAGTATAATAAAAATAAATTTTTATTTTCACATGCAACCAATACAGACCTACCTTAGGTAGAATAAGATGCCGATGATGTTATATCTTTCTTACACGTAACTAACCCCTTACGTAGATATTTATAAAGAGTAGTTTGTTTAGCGTTTTCTAGTTCTTCTTGATTAGCTAGGTGGCAACTCTTCTTCTCGCACCTCTTTTGCAAGCCCTCGTCGATAGCCATGACGGATCTTTGCTTTAGCGAGTTACATGGTTTAATTTGGCAAAAAAATAAAGGACATCATGGATCCTAGTCACAAGTTACAACGGTCGTTTCTTCCTTCTACTCGTTGTTTTTTCATCACTCGTTATGGGGAAAGGAGGACTCGCTGGGATGGTGGCCCCTTTTTTTGCTGAAGTTTTGGCCTTTGATTTGGCCAAAAAGTGGTTGATTTGTGAGAAAGGCCCATTGCGAGTCCGACGGGTTTGATGGGTTGACAAGTTGTAGGTTTGAGTTGTTAAGTCATTGTTTGGTCGTGGTTTTTTTTTTTTTTTTATGGGAAGTCGCTTTCTCTCTCTCTTTTTTAGGACTCGGATGCTTTTGGATAAAAATAGTCTCTCTCTCTCTCTCTCTCTCTCTCTCTCTCTCTCATGTTAAAATTTTGGCTTCTTTAGGGTTTTTTTTTCTTTCTTTTATGTGTGTGAAAGAGAGGTATTTATAGAGGATTTTTAAGGTTTGGCTTAATCCATATTTAGTCTCTCATACCCTTTTTGTTTTTTGTTATAATCATTGGCCTTTTCTTATTTTAATTTTACCCTCAATTTCATTTTTTATTAGTTCCCACATATTTTATTTCCTTCGATTTTTACCCTAATTTCCTACATTTTTTTTATATTTCTTTCCTTTTTTTTCATTTTCTCTTTCTTTTTTCCCTACTATTTTTTATTTTTTTTCCTTTTAATTAAAAATTGGGAATAATTCTAAATCCTAAAAATTTATAAAAGTACCTAAAAATTATGAAAAGAAAATCAAAAAACGATAAAACATGTAATTTTTTTTCCAGTTTCTAGAATTTTGTATTATATAAAAATTTATAAAGGGTCAAAATGGGTTATAACAATTGTAATAATCTAAATTGTAATTCTTAAGTTGATATATTAGTTCTTGGTTCTCATCCTACATCTACCTTTTGTGATTGTGATTTGCAAAACCCGAATTCTTTAAGAGTTTGCATGTCTAGAGCACTCAATTGTAAGACCCTTCATCATTAATAGATGCGAGTTCTTGCTTAAACTTGTTAGATTATTAAGTTCGTAATCTTATTTTTCATATACGTAAGTTGTTTAATCCTATATTTTAGTTTGAACATTGTTTTTTCAATTACAAATTAATTAATTGATTTGAATTGTTCATTTAAGATAATTGCTATTGTGAATAATATCCTTGTAAACCAGCCTGTTTGGATAGATTACATTCTTCACTCCAAGTTTACAAATTGATTTTAAGTCATTTGATTTATTATTTTTATTCGAAAAAAAATACCAAAAATATCCTTAGAAGTAGTAGTACATTTAGGATCATTAATTTAGTTATTTTATATTCAAGATTGGAAGTTGAATTGTCTTGGTTACCACCAGCGGACCATCTTATGTAATTTTTATACTTTTTTTTTTTTTAATTGAGACAAATAGTAAAGAACCCGCAAAAACAATAGATTAAGTTTAATTGAATCTAACATCCATTGGTTTCTTGTTCACGTCGTAGTGGGTGAACTATTATTTAAACATTTTCCTAAATGTATTAGATGCTACCTAGAGGACCGTTTAATTTGTTCATGCTTCTGATTAAAAGCCGTGATACATACAGGAGAGCTATTTAATTAATTGTTTTATTTTCCTCCTTTTGCTTTGCTCTAAATTAATTTTATTTATCCCTCCTCCCCTTCATCACCATTTTAAAAACCAGATGACATTATATCTTCTAATAATTGAATTAATTTCAAGAATATTTCTAAGCCTATAGAACTGCAACATGAGTTTTTTTACTTTCCCAAAAAAAGAAAAAAAAAATCAATGTAACCTTTTTATTTCGTCCATTAACTTTTTTGATTATCAATATAACCATCCTTCAAATTATTATAGCCCTAAACGTTAGTCACTTATATTTTTAGATCAGGAATTTACTTTTTTCCAACTCGATGGAATTTTGTATCTATGAGGTAATCCATGGGGGTCCATGATATCGTAACTATCTAGCTGCCTACTATCTAGAAGCCTTTCCATAATATGTTCTAGGTTTTGCCTAGGGATAAACATCCTCAAGGATTTTCAACATGCATCTTTTCGAGTTCAAACTTGGCTCTCTTCAAATCATTACGAAACGCATGGATGGCTTATATTGTGTCAAAGAAAATTAGGTACATGGTCGTAATATTGAGAGGTTGAATTCAAAGAATTAGAGTTATGCTTAAACACCTTAAGATATGATCATAAAGAGAAGACCTAGCTTTCCGCTTCTTTTTCACACTATCAAATCAAGCATTTCTTAGTATGATCTTCGAGTTCTTGAACTAGATCTTGATCTCTCTCTACAGATATATCTTTCATACCTTTATATTAATCAAATAATTTTTTGTTAACTATCAATACCTATATATAGGCATTTAGCACATAAAAAATTAAGCCTAACCAATTAACTTATGCCCTAGCATTCTAAAAATGCTAGTTATAGTCATCTCAAAGGACCGAAGTAGCTTAGGTGACTCATCTAGGTCGACTGTCATGGCATATTTTTAAATACCCCATTACCTTATTTGGCATCCTAGAAACTTCATTAGGTAATAAAATAAACACCATTAACATTAAAAAATTCCTAAAGCATGCATTTAAGGATAGTTTATGTCAACAGGTGTTGTAATGGCATTGGAGCGTAAGCTGTTTTCGAGGAAACAACAACCACCCACTAACTTTCCTTTTTGGTTAATCAATATTATGCTGTCTATAATCTCATTATCATCGCTAGACAACAAACTCTCTAGCTTGAGTTAAGATATGGAATCAATGATGTTGAAGGCTGGATTTATGCTGATGATATACAGTACGGTAGCAAAGATTCATTAGAGACAATTGTAACGTGCTGATTGGTAAGAAATAGTGAGCTGGTAAGCATATAGTAACACTTGGATTCAGATTATAGGGGGAAGGAATGATTGCAGTGAGGAACCGGAAGCAAAAATAATGAAGAAAGACGTTAGTGCTTATGAGATCATCATTTTAATCTGTAAAATAAAATTAAGGATTCAACCTGCATGACTGACTGAGGAGGGTATATATAGGAGTAGCCTCTGTGCATTAGTGTCATGCAAATTGTAGACAACATACAGTTTTGGAAAAAAGTGAAGCAATATGGTAGCAAGAATGGGTTGGGGAATTCCTGAGCAAGGGTGGAGGAAGGGTCCTTGGACTCCTGAAGAAGATAAGTTGCTTAGTGAATATGTGAGCTTGCATGGCGAGGGAAGATGGAGTTCTGTTTCTAGGTTTGCAGGTAAGCTCTCTTAATTACTAGCTAGGCTTGATATGTGACGAAGGTAATCACAGGAAACAACACCACTTGTTTGTTATATTAAAGGGAGATAGATAGATAGAAAAGACAGTTATTATTGGTAAGTTAATTATACACTTATAATTTTTGGGTGGGTGAGGCAAAATTTAGAGTTTATCATTCATTAGTAGATGCTGATCATATTATGCTTACAGCTTTTGACATTATAATTTAATATGAGCGCGCGCACAGATATATATATATATATATATATATATATATATATATATATATATATATTCGTTGGTTGACAATAGTAATTGTCTCACTAATTGTTTTAGTGCTCAACTATAACTTATTATTGGTTTAACCAGGTTTGAATAGGACTGGAAAGAGCTGCAGGCTTAGGTGGGTGAATTACCTTAGGCCAGGACTTAAGAGAGGCCAAATAACACCTGAAGAGGAAGGCATCATTATTGAACTGCATGGTATCTGGGGCAACAAGTAATGCAATCGATCCCTCCCTTTTAAAAAATATTTCTTTCCTTTTTTTTTCTCTCCCTGTACGTCCATTTTCTTTTTTTATGAACTGGGATTAATATTTCATACGTGTCTAGGTGGTCTACTATTGCTAGATACTTGCCTGGTAGAACAGACAATGAAATAAAGAACTATTGGAGAACCCACTTCAAGAAGAAAGAGAAATCCTCTCAGAAACAAGAAAAGCGAAAAGCTCAGACTCTGAAACAGGAAGGGCAACACCACCATCAGCAGCAACTAGAAGCTGGTGACATAAAAATTGTCAACAGCATTGATGATGCTAAGATGCATGAAGCACCAGAAAAGCAAGAAATTTATTTCATGTACTCCACTTTGGAGGATCAACGCTTGCCCGTGATGTCTCAAGATGTTGCATCTTGGGCAGATTCTGTGGTAGAAGATTATTATGGACTATGGGGTGGATTGTGGAACTTAGACGATCATCCACAGGGTCAGATTGCTCATACAAGTAACTGCAAAAAGTTATCCATGCAAAATGAAGCAACAACTTGTTCTTTTGGAGGGGATTCAAAAAATATCTACAGTGGACTGTAAATTTTCTAAGAATGGTTAGAAAATGTTGATGGTAACATATTTTTGTGTAATGCTTATGTCTAACTTGTTAAGAGTACGTATGTGGAAACATTATTTGTACGAGAAGTTAATAAAACATGGTGAGCTTTTATTAAAGATTGTGAGTTGGATTTGTCTTTTAACTATAAAATTATATATATGTTGGTGTTTACAGATATTTTTTTGCTTTATCAAATTGCCCACTATAGTTTTGTCTCACTTAAATTCAGTGGGGGAATGAGAATGTCCTGCCACCAATATTGTTTACTTTGAATTGATTCTGGTTCTAGATAATCTTCCTCTCCATAATCTAGACATGATATTGTTTGAGAAACTATCCCACATAAAATAGTTGCAAAAAATAAAATAGAATATAAAGAAGAAAAGATTACATATCACAAGATTAATATTTTTTTTGAATGAAATCCAGATTTAACTATATCTAATATACCTTGTAGAAAATTAAAATGGGAGAATTGCATTGATTGATAGTAAGGAATTAACGTACATATAACTTGTTTATATAGTGAATACAATAAGAGACTGATAAAAAATCAAACCAAATTACAAATTATAAAATATTTTATTTTCTAAATTTCTTCTATTTAGGATCTTCAAATTAATATTTTTGTTTGATTTTGTAATATCCGATACCCGTTAGAAAGCTTCATTTAATAAATTTGAGAATGTTAAAGAGATATGAAAAATGTTTTGTGAGCATAGAATAGTCCCTAAAGCGTTGTTAGAATATTCATGAAAGTTAAGATATTTTTTCCATGCCTAATAAATATATATTTTGTTGATTTTTCAATGCATGAATAATGACTTTTTGTGGGAAATAATTATTTAAAGCATGATGAATACACATGAAAAATATTTTATTTGCATAGAATATTTACGAGAGGGACGTTTGATTATTTGATGCCATTGGATGAATTTTCTCGAAGTCATGTGATTATGTTATGTGAACTTTACTCGTATATGAATAGTGTTTTGAGGTAAATTAATTAATTTGAGTTCTTTAAAGCTGTAAGAAAATTACCCAATGGACATAGAAAAATCATTTCGGACATGTATGAATATTTTATAATCTTCAATGTATAGGGAATATTTTCTATAGAAATAAGTGTAATTCTGTACAAAATAATTAATTACAAGGCCTAAATAAGCGTAGAAAAATTATGTGAATGATGATTAAATTATTTTAGGAGGTGTTTGAATTTATTATGAAAAGAAATTGAATATTAGAAATGTATGGAATGAAATTTTAGAATTAGGGACCTAATTGTATGAAAATTAGGAACCTAATTGCATAAAATTAAAAGTTTAAACTTTCAAATTAAATTAGCTATGAACTTTAAGAGTAAAAAAGTTGTTAGAAAACCTTTAAAGGAAGGGCATAATGTAATCAATTGAATAATTGAGGGACTTATGAAGGAGTAATTAGAGAAAAGATTAGTAACTTTAAGGAACAAAATTATGAAATTTTTGGGAGAGATTCCTTCCCCATTTTCCATACTTAGGGTGTATGATTGGGGTTAATTAATGAGGGTTTGACTCGGCTTAAAAGGATGGTCAAAAGTTAGGTTAAATGAAGGGCTAAAATTTAAAGAAGAATTAAAGGTTAAAATTAAACTAATTGAAGGGTTAAGATTTAAAGAGAGATTAAGGGTGAGGACTGCACCAAATTAAGGGTAGAGATTAAGTCAAAAGTCTACCAAATTTTTACCTATAAATATGGGTGCAAGAAAATGGAAAAATTGTAAGGAAAATAGCAAAATACAAGGGAAACGCTTGAAGAAATTCTATAGGAGTGTTTAATTGATGTCAATTGATGGTTTGGTTCCCTAATTTTATGTTTGATTGTCTTAATTTTAAAAATTAGGGTTAGGGTTCTTAGTTAGAAAAATTTGAAGGAAATGAATTTTAACTAGAAATTCATGCAATTGAGTTCAAAATAGGTTAATTGGGCTTGAAACTAATGAAGGAAAATAAAAAATGTATAGGGTTACGCGAGAGAAAGCATTCGGCCCAAATTTTGAATTTTAGGGGTTTTGATGTTTTGCTTGGTTTGATGATTTATCACTTGATTATACGTTAATTAGGTATGAATTGATGATTTTGTGTGAAAAATTGTATTAAAATTGAAGAATTTTCCTTGAACTCTTTAAGGAACCATTCGACCCAAATCTTGAAATTTTAGGGTTTTGATTTCTTTACTTATTTAATGAATTACTGGTTAATTAGGAGTTTAATAAGTATGAATTGATGAATGAGAATGAGAAATTTCATAAAAATTGAAGAATTTCACCTAAATAGCCTAGTCTTAAATTTGGCCCAATTAAGAAAAAAATTAGGGTTTCTATATGTTTTGATTTCAAATAGTTAAATTGATGAATTATAAGTTAGTTTAAGTTAAAAGATGAGTTGGTATGGAAGATTTTATTGAAAATAAAAAATTAATCTAAACTACCTTACTTAGGTTTCGGCCCATTAAGGCTCTATTAGGGTTTATGCATGTATTTAGCTAATGCTTGCTTAATTAATTAAGTTCTTGATGTGATAATGTAATTAAGTAAGTTAGTGTGAAAATATAGTCGTAAGATTTGGAAAAATTATCTAACCTAAGTTTAAGTCACATTCGACCAACTTAGGAACAATTAGGGTTTTTGTTTTGGTTTATACAATTTAATGGTGATATGGTTCTTTGGTTCCCATTTGATGAGTGGAAGTTGTGATTTTTATTATTATGGAAGTGCATTGCCTTGTATTATTAATGGTGTCAATGTTTGGAATGGTTTGGCAAGATAATGTATATGGTGCATTTATATTGTTAAAACATGCATTATATAGCATAAATGCATTCCACTCATGGCATGCATTTGATGAAATTATAATGGTTATGCATTTAAAATAAAATGCATATGCATGCCAAGTTTATAAAAATGGTTTAAAATCATAAAAAAGAGAATTTTATGTCAAAACTTTTCCGATAGCAATTATAAGTATTTTATGGTTATATGGTTTTCATGACATTCATGGTAATGGTTTTCATGGTTTTATGAAAGGACTTTATGGGTTCTATGACTTTCATGATTCAAAATTCATGGTTCACGGTTTATATAGGTTGAGTAATGTAGACATGCACCAAGGCCCGACAGAGCACGTTTGCATACTAGTCCGATTTGTGAGACATTTCATAGAAAACCCTAAAGCTCTTATTATAGGATTTGTCCAAAGACATTTTTTTTTTCGCAGTAATCATGATAAGGATTTTATGACATGAAAAAGGATTTTGGATGAACATTCAAATGATTTTCATATACATTTTATTTACGAGCATAGCATGTATAGGTTAACTTACCGAGTTGTAGCTCACCTAATTTCTTATGGTGTAGATAACACAGGTAAAGATGGTGATGTTTATATTTGAGCTAACTACCGAGGGATCGTGCACCATATGTATGTTGGAAGTGGCTAGAAGATGGACCTCCTTCACACTATAGTTGTTTTAATATTGTTACTTTAGTTTATTTTTCTAGATATGGCATCTTTCTTTTATGTAATGGTTAAAGTTATGAAAAATGAGTAGTTAGTATAAAAAGAAAAAAGATATACTAAATAAGTCATTTTTTGTAGTAGATGACATTTAATTGGTATATGTATATTAAATACGGTCTTTATATTAATCGAAATATCGATAGTAAAATAGTAGTATAACCGTAGTTAGTGTAGTTTTCAAAAAGTTATTTTCTTACATCTTGGGATCAATAGTAAAATAAGAAAAATAAAATTAATAAGACAATAACTATAAAAAATGGCAACGAATGAGGATAAAAGAAATTAATCACCAAGTAATGGATAACAATTAAATGAATTTATAAAGATTAGTAGAAAAAAAGTTTGAGAAAACCAAATGCTATGGATCTAGTTAATTCAGTCCAAGTAATTTGAGTAAAATAATAAAATGCAAAAAATTTATGGTGCATTTTGGATTGAAATTTATGACCTCGCTCATCATTATTATGCTTTTGTAGCTAATTCCGTATCTAAAAAACCATAGTAAGTAGATAGGCCTTTGTCAATTTGCATTCATTACATATCGAATGTAGATCAATAGGGGTAATATTCTCAACCTATGAGGTCTTATATATGGGGTGCTACGGATGTGGTATCGAGTAGGGTTTTTGTTAAAAAGTGATGATGAAGCACATCCAAGATACATGGACGATGACCTTTGGTAATCGGTAAGTATGCTTGATGAGTGATTGTTATGATTGGTCGAGTTTATGTTTATAAATGATGATTATGAGTGATATGATAATGTGCTATGATTGAATGTTATATATACGAAGTATTATGAGTTAGTATGACATGAATGACTTAGTTTATGTTATTGTGTTTGTAAATTATGAAAAAGGGAAATCCATGCCACCAAAGAGGGTTGTTAATAATAATGTTAGTAACAATATAGGATCGAGCCGAGGGTTGATAGATAAAGAAAGAGAGTTAATGGAGCTACTTAGGAGGTAGCAAGAAATGTTGGAGTTACAACAAGAAAGGCATGAGGAGCGATTATGAGATAATCCTAAAAACGAGTCGGCGTGGTTCGATTAAGGCTTTTCCACCTTAGAGATCCGAAATAATGTGTTCTAAAGGTTCAATGCAAAGGAATTTAGGATTGGTTCAAACCTTAAAATTATGAAAGAATAGATTGAATCCTTGGAAGTCACTTTTGACCATCCGGGTTTGAATGACGTAGATCGAGTAGCATGTACGACTTTTATGTTAGTCGACAATGCATGGAATTGGTGGGAGACTCGTGAAGCATCTTTGGATATAATGGGACTTACTTAAAGTCAATTTAAGGAGCTATTTAATGAGAAATACTTTTTGGATATTGTGAGATCTAAAAAAATTTAGGAATTTCTCCAATTGACATAAGAGATATGACAATGACGAATATATCCGTAAGTTTGAGC